ACGTTTTCAAACACTCGGTAGTTTATTTGTTAACGAGTTGTTCTGTATTCTCCTTGCAGGTGCAACTATGTGGCTTGTATCCTGGATTATATGTTTAAGTCATCATGGATGTTTAAAATTCATATTTGTCTAATATTAGTTTACTTTTCATTAATGAAGTATGATGTTGCGCTGTCAGTACACTTGTCCCTGTTTGTGATTGGTCAAATGTAGCTAACCCCGCCCCTTTCACGTGAACGCGTTCTCAGCTGGAGAGAGAAACCCTGGCTTGATTTACCGAGTTGATAACCAGCGCCGTAGGACCGTTTAGCGAGATCGCGTTTGTTAGGGTTAGTTAAGATAACTCAAGCATATCCAGGGTCTGTTGAACTGGCTTCGTGGTACAGGGCACAGGTGGCTGCATAGCAGCGCTAATGTCAAAGACATTATATTTTTATTTTACCAGGATGCAGTAACACAAATATTTGGGAAGGCTTAGCCTTCCCTAGCCTACAGCACCCGCCGCCCCTGGGCCTACAGTATAGCCCAACCATGTACACCTTCCTTTTTTCCCGTCCAAAGTTTGAATTGGATAAAGGTAATGGTTATCGATGGTGCTTTTATAGCCTATTGTATAATAACTGTGTGATTTATATTGCTTTTCAAATGCATATGGCCACCCATTTACACTGCTCTTCCCGTCAAGAATATGATTAGAACTTAGTTAGATCACTTTACATTTCTGCAAATACATTTTTAATCACACACGTCTCCCCATCCCGAAAATGATAAATAAAATAAAAAGAGGAAACCATTTTCAAGTTCAGTTTTCAACGTTTTATTTAAAATGACTGACATAACAGACACCATACTGTAGACCTATCTGCTGCGGAGACCAGGACGAGCTATTTCGGGATCTGTTTTTCGGGGGCTCCTCAGTCTCTCATTTACCCCGGCTCCTGATTAGGACACATCCTGGGGATTGTGTTTACAAACATTGACCAGACCGTTCACCAGCCCCCACCCCCCATGTTGCCTATGCTGTCCTGTGTTGCGAACTCTTTGTTTAAAACGAATTGGCCATCGGAATGTGTGGAGGAATTCTCCCAAGGGTCGCATTCCACAGCTCCCCCCCCCCCCCCCCCCCCCCCCCCCACCCCACTCCTGTGATCTCCCATCCCCCAGTCTGTAGGTTTGTGTTTGCATATTTCTATGCCGTAATTCATACTGGTCCTCTCACGCACATACATTCTCCTTACAGTATACATACATAGGCTATATGAGTCCGTGTATCTACGGACCATTTGTTTTTCTTTATTAAAAAAAGTAAACGGAAGAGCGTCTGAGAGGCGTTTTTGCCCTTTTGCTTGTGACCTTACTAAATGGTCTAATGGTCAGTGGAGCGAGGGGGGAGGCCCGCGAAACTCGCGGAAGTGATTTCAAAACAAAAAGCACTCGTTTGCTTGGAACAAAGAAAACGGCCAAGACACACATTGAGTCCAGAAAATGAATGTTATTAAGGGCTGTACATATAATAAGCCTGTGTCTAAAATTGACAACAGGCTTATTATATTTACAGCCCTTAAGTTACATTTTTGTGTTTAACAGCTGACCACTACCATGACATACTTTGTTTTAGTAGATTTCGCATTAGAGCAAAATGTATAAATATGAGCATTAAATTATATGAATATGAGAACAAAATGCATGAATGTGTGAGTGACAATATATGAATGTGTGCATTGAAATATGATAATATGAGAGCAAAATGTATGAATGTGTGAGTATATATACGTGTGTAAGAGTGAAAATGTATGTATGTAAAAGGAGAATATATGTGTGTGAGAGTGAAAATGTATGTATGTAAAAGGAGAATATATGTGTGTAAGAGTGAAAATATGCTGCATTTTGAATGTCCGATAGTCCACCATTTCCACCGGAAATATCAAACAAGACTTAACGTATTGTAACGTTCCCAAGATGAGTCGGAGACAGGCTTGTAGTTATTAGGCTTTAATAACTAGTATTTGAAGACAGATGATAACAGGTCAAGTACACTTCGTGGGTTCTACTGCACACTCCACTCACCTCACACTCCTACACATACCCATATAGCACTGTCTATGTCACAACTCCCCGCCCTCCCCACCAACCACAGGCCCGCACCTCAGCCACCATCAAGGTGAAGCTCTATGATTGGCAGAGAGACGGGGGATGCCTAAGTGACACCCTGAGTAGCCTATCAGGATCGCTACAGTATTCATCATAATTAATTATATTTATTTCGTTTGGATGTAGGATTTTTGACTTTGTTTAGACCAGTGATCTTCTACTATATGAACATTTTGGACCCAAAATCACAAAAAAAAACGTAAAAACAGATTTTGAAAATGATATTATTTTTCATATAGGTAACATAAACATACACAACGAAACCATTTAAAAGCTAGAAATATATACATGGGATGTCACTATGATAATGTGAAAGTTTGATTGAGGTAGCATGGGATTTCATTCTGATAAGGCAAAAGTGTTATTATAAATATAATACAAATATATATATATACACATTATGTACAAAAATCGGTTTTTATACGACACAGAGGGCAACATCACAGGTTCCTCCTCCTCCATGTCAAAAAACAAGCTTAAAGCTTGACTCACGTTCAGAGTTCTCTTCATCATAGTTGAATCTTCAAAACTCTAAATCTATCTAACTATATCTAAATTCTCAATGTTTGTCTGTCACTTTACTTCAATCCAGTCTCCCGCCGTCTCTCTTCGTCTCCCGCCGCCTGTCTTCGTATATCTTCGTCTCTCTCATTTCCCGCTGTCTCTCTTCGGTTCCCGCCGTCCCTCTTCGTCTCTTTTCGTCTCGTTTCGTATCACTCCGTTTACCTGATTACCTCACCCCCTCCCTGGTAAATACATCCTGTTGAGCAGAATCTACAGTTTCCATTTTTTTCCGTTTCGTAAAATTATCAAATACGGCGAAGATATTAAAATATGTGCTTCCATTATTCATACTTCTGAAATATATCTGTATTAACTTTATATCATCGTATGTCCGTGTTTATTTTTGTCTGTTTATTGGGTCTTTTTGCATGAAACAAAGACTGGCATATAGTTTCAAGCCAGTACTTTAGACAGAAATACACATATACATCCTGTTGAGCAGGATCTACAGTTTCCAGTATTTTCCGTTTCGTAAAATGATCAAATGCGGCGAATATATTCAAATATGTGCTTCCATTTTTCATACTTTTGAAATGTATTAACTTTATATCATCGTCTCTCCGTGTTTACTGGGTCTTTTTGCATGAAACAAAGACTGGGATATAGTTTCAAGCCAGTACTTTCGACAGAAACACACGGCAATGTTGTCCGGACTGTTGTTATTATGCGGCACAGGTCATGTGATCTGATCACGCCGGCGTGACGGTTGACTCCAAAGGGTTCATATTAAATACATATAAGTATTTTTACAACTTGTATTTAGAAATACTCTGTTGTAATTATTGATGCATAAATGTGTTCATCCATTCAATGTGGTATCTGCTATAATGGGGTTAATGTATGATATTACTTAATAATACAATACATTATAATATATGATATGATAATTATATTTTAGTTTTATTCATTTCTTATTTCATAGTTTCTCATTATTATTATTTGTATAGCTCATCTTATTTTTGATTTTATTAATCTGTGTGAATCTGTGCTGTCCTGTTTTTCACTCTCACCCTGTTGCTGTATGAACTACTGAATTTCCCCACGGGATTAATAAAGGTCCATCTTATCTTATCTTAATGTATAAGTTGATTTACTTCAATCTACTGTACTGTGTAAAAACACCCCAACAATATTACAAGAAATATACTGCATAAAGCAAACTATATACTTTATTTGATCTAAAATATTGATGTTTTTTCATTATAGTAGCTTGTGAAAACCATACAGTAACAAATAAGTGATTAAATGCTACAGTATTCAGCAAACACAACTGCAGAGCTGCAAACATTGCAAACAGACTAAGTTCATCAACACCCAGTTGTCTTTGTGTATTTTGTGAATGAAGCGCCATCTCATGGTTAAATCCTGTAATTGAACAAATCGGGAAATTGGGCAACGCCCTCTAGCAATTTGGCAACACCCCCAGCCGCTGGCATCCGCTGGGCTTTTGACTGGGACACACCCACCTGAGTCTGATCTGGAGTGCTTCATCTGTATGTACTGTACCGTTAGACATTTGATTTTAGTTTAGCTAGCTAGCTAAGGAGGTAGCCTGCCCATGATACAGCTTTGATGCCATGCTAGCCGCGAGCCTCTGATACAGAATGATAAATACAAATGATTTAAAGTTTTTATTTATGTGTTATTATTCTTATATAATCTTTTTGTAAATAATATACTACTTTTCTATTGTGATAGCTGTAAATTGATCCTCCAATAGTGTTTAATTGGTCAGATAGTTTATTTTCACGGTCAACTTGTGTGTAGGCCTATATATATATATATTTATTTTTCTGTTTATTTTCTATTATATTTTAGAATTTGTTTATTTTCTGCTCTTTTTAATGTCTAATTATTGTGCAATGCTTTGTTTTATATGCTTCTGTAACGAAATAATGTGAATGTTAGCCAGAAGAAAGCTATCTGGATAACTGCTCCTTTGTATAAAGTGAGGCTGACCAACCAATATGGGCATGTGTTATTATTTACATTACATGTAATTTGTTAGACGCTTTTATCCAAAGCGACTTACATACATTCAGTATTGTGGACAATCCCTACTGGAGCAATTTGGGGTGAAGTGTCTTGCCCAGGGACACAACGACATGCTGACTGCAGTGGGACTCGAACTTGCTACCCCCTGATTCAAAGTCCAGACCTAACTTTTATATAGGCCAGTTGTGAACTTGCATACAGCTGAGGCAGATTGCAGCAGTTATTTTTGCCTGACTGTATATACATGTTTTTGCTTGTAATGTGCTAATATCTACCCTATAATTTTCCAGCTGCACTTGAGAAATACCTCAAAAAGCCCCCAGTTGCTGGAGAAGGAACATCTGATCTCCCATGTACATCACACTCTGAAGAATGTAAGTTTTGCCACACATTTATGGTCTCTGTGTAATCGTTAATACACTACTTTTTGTCATTATTATTATTGTTATTATTATGATAAATAATGAAAACTGAAGCATGAATAACTTCTTTGCATGTTTGGATTGCCTGCCTGCAGGTGAAGGAATAACGAGCACAGTATGTGAGTCCACCATTGCAGCCCCCTCAGATCCTGCTGACTGCCCAGGCCCATCTGAGTCCACCATTGCAGTCCCTTCAGATCCGGCTGACTGCCCAGGCCCATCTGAGTCCAACATTGCAGTCCCCTCAGATCCTGCTGACTGCCCAGGCCCATCTGAGTCCAACATTGCAGTCCCCTCAGATCCTGCTGACTGGCCAGCACTGAGTGATACAGTGAGAAAAACCATGTGAACATCACATTTAAATCATGGTCTGATATCAGATGGGAGAGTCGGATCAACAGCATAGAGACTGTAATCAGGCTGCAGAAGTCAGAGATGCACTTCTAGAGATGAGGGATAAAGCCACAGATGGAGTTGTAAAAATTGAGGCACAATCTTTGGCTGAAGAGGTTGGATCATACCGCTTTGCAATATGCACTGTGTATGACATCCTGACCAACATCAAACATGTCAGCAAAATGTTGCAATCAATGTCAATGCAGCTGGATATTGCTGTTGACCTCCTGAGAAAAACAGAAGTGTCTTTGGTCAGCTACAGAAGCAATGGATTTGCTTCTGCCCAAGCATCTGCCAAAAGACATCTGTGGCCAAATGAATGTGGAAGCTGTTCTCAAGCAGAAGAGGCTTAGAACAACCAAGAGACAGTTCTCCTATGAGTCCCCGGAGGAGCAAGTGAGTGATGCACTAAAGAAACTCAAAGTTTCTTTTTTCAATATGGTGGTGGATGTTTCCATTGCATCACTGCAGGACAGATTCAAGGCCTTAGGTGAAGTAGAGGAAAAGTTTGGGGTGCTACTCAACTTCCCTGACCTGCCAAAGGAAGATCTGACAAAGCAGTGTGAAACACTCAGCAACACCCTGAGCTGGGGTGGACAGTCAGACCTGGATAAGAGGGAACTTGCACTGGAGATGCAGAATTTCCCAGCTTTGCCGAAAGCCAACATGACCACCCTGGAACTTCTGACTTTCCTACAGGAGAAGAAAATGAATGAAGTGTATCCAAATATGTGGGTGGCCCTCAGGATCGCTGTCACTATTCCAGTGACAGTTGCTGCTGGGGAGAGGAGCTTCTCCAAATTGAAGCTCATTAAAACATACCTGAGGTCGTCGATGGCTCAAGAACGCCTCAATGGATTAGCTTTAATAAGCATCAATCGCGAGGTTTCGGGGGCAAATATAATTTGACGATACAATAAATGAATTTGCAGCAAGGAAGTCCAGACGTGTCCGACTTTAAGGATGTGGACTAATTAAAGGAAACAATAACATAGCAGAGACTTGTTGTTCTGATTGCCTGTTTCATTTGATTCATAGTGTGTGTAATGTTGTTCATTATCTTAATTTATTTGCAATAACCTCAGTTGTAAGAGCTCCGTTGGCTATATTTGTGTCCACATTTGCACTTTCTTTTCTTAAAGTTTTAAGAGAAGCTACTTTTGTTTGATTAGTGATTTTCATTTAATAACTACAATATTAATAATAAGGATAAAATAAATAAATATGTTACATTTATTTGTTATTGGCTGTGGGTTATTGTGGTTGTTCACATACTTATTTGGTTATTAAAATGTAAACCGATCTTTTTCATATGGGTGTTTTTAGAGTTGTACCTCCTATCAGGTCTCTAGTAATTGTGTGCTCAAAGTGCACCAGATTGAAGCATTTTACTTTAAAATGTTAAAAAAAATCTTTCCGGGGGGGCATACCCCCGGACCCCCTAGAGCAGGGGTACTCAAATACAAATCTTAAAGGTCCAAAATAAATGTTTCAATAAGACAAAGGTCCGTTTATTACGGTCATTCAAACTTTTAAACAATTGCAACAAGATTCTTAACACGAGGTTGCAAAAACAAAAATAATCTGTATGCAGCAGTTTTCATTGTTATTGTTTCTGTGCTTGACCCCTCAGAGTCGCAGTGTAAGAGCTGCACAGTTAGGAATAAAGGCAGCTGCACCCTCTTTCATTCAGCATTCCCATTATTGCTTTATAAATGTCTTGCCCCCTTGTGTGTCCACTGAGGTTCGTCAGGCCCAACACATCTTCAACAAACTCCCCCTTTGCCTCATCATAAAAACTCACAAACACCAGCAACTGAGCATTGTCAGTGGTGTCAGTGGACTCACCCACAGCTAAAGAAATGCACTGTGCATTTTTTATTCCATCACAAAGCTGATGAATCAAATCACCAGCCAGTATTTATGTTCTTCTGGTTGCTGTGCAATCTGAGAGGGGATTTGCTTGATTTGACCTGTTATTTCCTCTTTTTGTTTGCCTTCAACATGGTCTGCATCACTTCAGTCATGCATTCTTTTATACTGCAGTTATTATCCAGTGGAAAGTCCTTACCTACTGGCCTAGTTCAATCAAAGTGGTTACTTTTTTTTGGCTGGGCAGTGTAGTTTTAAACACCGTCTTATTTGACTTTCTCAGGAATTAAAACAGTTTTTTGGGGGAAGACCCCCTCAAAGAAAACAATATATTTACACACGTAAGGTCATCATCTTAATAGTTTTGTATGCTCATCCGTGAGCAGAGCATCAAGTTGACATGTCTATTACAGCTGAATGCGGCGATTACCATCTTGTTCAGCAAAACGCCTCACAAACGTATTAAGATCAACAGCTTTAGTGCGTTTTGATTCAATGCTGAGTACAGTCAAACTGACAGTCTCTTCTCTGTCATTGTAGACCGCAAATACCTCATTCCTTCAGTGCTTGGGTCCGAATGCTTCTCGTTTTGCGCCGTCCAGTTAAAAATGAAATCGCCGCCAAATCGTATGTCCACGCTCGCGCCAGGACCGGGGGAGGGGTTACATGACGTGCATCTTGTGCTGCATTCACTTGCACTCGGACATTAGAGACTTTCTCTCATAAATGTCCGATGAGCCACAACTTTTCTTTCAAAACAAAGCTGCCAACTGGGGTGGCAGCTGGGGTGGCAAGGCCTATTTTTAGGGTGTCAGTTGCCACCCCGGTAGGTGAAACTAGGCTACTAGCTACAGTACAGATGGAACTAGATGAGCTGTTAACTCTCGCTCTGAATTTTTTTTGTTTTTGTTTTAATTCTCGCTCTGACTTAGACAGGTTGAAAGAGACACACACATTTTTCCCACCCGCATTCCGCGAAGACCCGCCCTACTGTGCCTCTGATTCGCAGATTGTTTTGGGGGAAAAAACGCTGACTGGATGCTGAATGTGATTGGACCAAAGCGTTGACACACACAGGTGGAACACAGTGGAACAGTCAGACATGCAGAGCGCTGTTTGCAGTGGACATAGCGGAGAATTTTGACTCGTTGCGAATGCGTTGTGGCGATGTCTCACATATAATACAGAGAGATCATACATATGAAAAGTATAATTTGCTCAGAGTCCGGAGACAGTGCTGGTTCGGTCCGGATCCGGACCGGAGTCCGTAGTTTGAGGATGCCTGCCCTAGAGGATGTGACATCCACCCCCCAATTAAAACATGTTCATACAATAATGAATACATTTGAAACCTTTATGTATATTACCTATGTCAATAAGTTTCTGTTTTTTTAGTGTATTGGTCTTTTGTAGAGATTTTTCATTTATTATTTATATATTCTATTGTGTATTGCTTGGAGGGGGGGGGGGGGCACCAAATCATAATCTCGCCTAGGGCACCAAAATGTCTAGGGCCGGCCCTGCATGTGAGGGAAGGAGGCTTGACCGCTGTCGGGTGACAGTGGTGCCTGCCAGGGGAAATATCTGTTCACTTGGGGTGCTGGTGTAGCCAGGTAGCTCCTGGAAAGCTTGGCTAAACAGGGGAAGCGGTTCGCGTTTTGTGCCCACCACTTCAGAGGGTTATCCATTGTGGGGATATGGGGTGTCTGCTGGCAGTAATCCCGTAGCTCATCCGCGCCACTGTTGTCCTGTGTTTTCTTGTTGCTCTCGAAATGAGGTCCAAACAGCTGTTCAAAGAGGGGGGTGCTAGTGGAGCACGCTCGTGAACTTTTAGCGCCGGAGCTAAAACTGAAACTGTAGAGTGCATAGGTGCGGCGCATTTGCGCATAAAATGAGGACCCCTGAATGTCGGACGTGTTTTGCTGGAGCATTTTGCAGCACCTCAGCGCCAATGTCGGCAATCTCATCTCCCACCTTTGCCTCCATTTTGTTCACAACTAGATGACTAAGGCCTAGAGCGCCGACTAGTGGTAGAGGTAGTCGACTAGTCGACTAGTCGATTAGTTGGTGAAACTCCTAGCATAGCGCGGTTTATCACTCTCATCCGGGCATGTCCACTAGCTGCCTCCTTTACTGGAGTTACAACCGGGGCAGCGAGTGGGGAATCTGTACGGTCAACATTATGTGGCAGTGTGGTTGTGTGGAAAGACGCTCAGACTGGGATACAAGCAATCTCTTTTATTTGTATTAAAAGACTATCGCGTCAACACAGTGGGGTCAAATAGGGAGGAGGCGGGATTCGCCCTCGCGTCCTGGCCGGAGAAAGCACCTCTCTCCGCCGGGACCCTTCCTCCCGCCGCAAGTCAGCTCCTGGAGGACGGTGCACCCCACCCAGCTCCCCTTCGCTGAGCCGGAGCGGGAGCCGGAGCAGGAGCCGGAGCGGGAGCCGGAGCGGGAGCCGGAGCGGGAGCCGGAGCGGGAGCCGGAGCGGGAGCCGGAGCGGGAGCCGGAGCGGAGCCGGAGCGGGAGCCGGGAGCCGGAGCGGGAGCCGGAGCGGGAGCCGGAGCCGGAGCGGGAGCCGGAGCGGGAGCCGGAGCGGGAGCCGGAGCAGGAGCCGGAGCGGGAGCCGGAGCGGGAGCCGGAGCGGGAGCCGGAGCAGGAGCTGGAGCGGGAGCCCGTCGGGTTCGGCCAGCCTGTCCCCATGAGTGCCGGTACTGGGCCGGTTCTCCGGGACGGACCGCGGAGGCAGAGGGAGCAACGGGGGCTCTGTACCGGCGCCTCTCTCTCCGCCTTAACACCACGGGTGCTCTCTCCCTTGAGGAGGGGCCTGAGGGCGAGCCAGTGGCAGCATGCGGCCGAGCTGCGGCCTCTCTTCCTCCAGGCGACTGAAACGCTGGGTGACCGAGGATATCGACCCGAAGAGCCCTTCCGTGGAAACGGGGGCCCCAAGGAGATCATCTCTCTCAGTTAGGTCTAACTCTTAGTTTGTTTCGCTCCGCTCAACGGTCCGTCACAGCAGGCAGAGCTGTGATCCCGAACAGCTGCGTGTTCTCCGTCAGCAGCAGCTGATCTGATCTCTGA